ATATATATATATATGTATTGCATTTTACTAAATGTTGTAATAAAAATTACTTTTAAATTGGTCTAAAAGCAAAATGACCAAAAATAAAGTAGCCCCAGTGTTAGACAGAAAAATATTAAAACAAGTATAATTCATCAGATGTCTACAAATGAAAAGATGTACAAGTATCTCACGCAAAAGTTTTAGAATCTCAGTCCAGCTCTGCAGTCGCCGTGCTGCACAGTTTTACACATATATATATTTTTTTTATCTGCACAAATCATTCCTCCTTCTATCCCACTGCAAGACCCAAAGTGTAGAAATGATCTACAGTCATACCCAAACACCCAAAATATATTTAAAAAACCTGTAAAATCTAATGTATACAAGCCACCTGCTCACTCTAAAATTTTATTGTCTTAATTTATTGTTGCCACGCTGCTGAAAATTATGTTTACAGAGCGAACTCTGCAGACAGAAGCAGATGCAAATCTTTGCCTGAAGACACATGGTGATTAAAAGCTGGGGGGAAAAAGCAGTCATAATCATTAAAGTGCTGCTTTCAGCATTTTATTTTATTTATTTCAAGACAAATACCCACACCTTAATTTGCTTGATGATTTTTGCCAGCATGCGCAAAATTAACGAGCAGGCGGTTCAATTTGTAGACATGTGCTTAGGTAAATACAAATGACATTTTTCTTGATAATCTCATTAGAAGATCCCCTCACGAACCTTACAGTACATCAAACAGAAATAAATGAATCTCAGAAGATTTCAGAGTAATTTGAAGTTCTAAAGACAACCGTGTGGAGGTTTTCTTGTTTTTCTCACAAGAAAAACTGTTGGTTTTGCGTCAACTCAGAATGTGCTGTAATTAGTTAAAAATGAAATATAACATGGCCTTGGAGGAATCCATATCAGCCTCAACCCGGAGAAAGATCATTAAGAACATTTAGTCATCCTCAATCTGTCTGAGACATACTGTAATTCAATTCAAGGTAGTGCACCAGCTGCACTGGTCCAAGGACAAGCTGTCCAGGATCAAAACCAACCTGGACCCCGCATGTAATCGTTGTAAACAAACTCCAGCTACACTCGTACATATGTTCTGGACCTGTCCCAAACTGCAGACCTTTTGACAATCTATTTTTCACACCTCCTCTGGGATATGTGGAAAAACTGTACACCCATCACCGATCATCTCATTGTTCAGGGTGGCCCCTGTGGATATGTCCTTCAGCAAGTACGAGAAGGATGTGATCGCTTTTGGCTCTCTTTTGGCCAGAAGACTGGTTCTATGCAATTGGACGGACCCATACACCCCAGTTCATTGGATAAGAGAAGTGATATATGATATTCATTTAGAAAAAATTAGATATACCCTGAAGGGTTCTGTAAAAAGATTTTGGGACACTTAGTGGCCTTTTGTATTGTATGTGGAAAGTATGTCAATACCTGTTTAACTTGTTTGTGCATGTTTGACTGATCCGATCCGGTGTGGGAGGTTTATTTTTTGTTTTTTTTTGTTGTCTGCATGTTAAAAAGTTAAAATCAAAAATCAATTAAAAAAACTTTAATTAAAAAAAAAAAAACATTTAAATGTCTCCTCAGGTCAGTACTTCGCCAGCATAATGATCATCGTTGGGATGTCGGTCATCGCTACAGTGATTGTTTTACAGTATCATCACCACGATCCAAACGGAGGCAACATGCCGAAATGGGTGAGGCTGAGCTCAGACACTGATTCCAGACTCATTAGGAGACATACATCCTGCTTTCTTCTTGTTAGAGCTAAAACCGATCGTCCTGTTTTAGATATGATGCACTCCTTTTGTCAGTCTTTATTCCAGTATTAGTAATGGCCTTCTGCTCGGCAACATTTCATCTGTTTGTTAGAGCACCGTATGCCAGTTTCTCTTTTTATTCACCGATTTCCTTGGCTGTGACTCATGCAGCAGTGTCGGTCTGCCTCGGTGTGTTCATCAAATGCCTCGTCGCAGACTACAGCAGGAGCGCATTTCAAAGCGCTCTGGAAAAACGTGGGCGGATTCACTTTGAATTATTCCCCATTTCTAGTTTTCCTCTGGGGGAAAAATGTCCTCATACAAATGTTTTTTTTTTAATGTGCAAATAAAAAAAAACATTGTAAATAAGGACAAACTATCTGAAATTAAGACTTAAAAATTTGAATATAACGTTTTTTAATTAACGACTAGACAACTCTGTTTTGCATTTTCAGTTGGTTTCTATTTTACCTGCAGAAGAAAAAAAAATGACAGCCTTTCAATAATTGATGAATGTACGAGCTGGCTGGCTGCATAGGCATGCAAAGGCTTTGTATATTGACACGTTGCAAGGACGTTCTGCTGATGAATTGCCTGTTCAAACAATTCAATGGCCAATTAACAAACTAATTGATGAGGTTCAGATTAGGGTATTGAGTGAGCACAGTTCATAATTAGACTTTGCACAAAAACAACATCAGCAGTGGCAGCAACAGGAGCCGTTACATGACTTGTAAACTTAGCCTGCAGAGACTAATTGAGCAGTAATCTGAACATTTCAGTCCTCATTAGATGCCAGACACCAATCTGGATGCTGCTGGGCCAGTTTGTCCTTTAGGGAGAGCTTTGTGGGAGGGCTGAGTGCAGAAGAAGAATGAAACCCAAGTTTAAAATTTGAACTAATTTGCATCGTTTTTATCTGTTATCATGTTGGAACTGAAACTGTAATCACACAGTCCAGCACAGTTTGAATTTAAGATTATATTTTCAGTTTCCTCTCTGCAGGGAATCTATCAAAAGAAAAAAGAAAATCTCTGCCTCAGGCGCTTTAACTGGGAATCGCTAGTGCAAAGGTTTTGGACAAGGTTAGAAACAGAGAACCAAACCACAGCAAAAGGTTTTTCTGTCCAGCTTAACTGGAGTCCTGAGCCCACATGTGATGATTTCAGTGTTTTTCTGGCCCGTTCTGTGCATACACCAACGCCTCTCTTTCACCGCAGGTGCAGCTCGTTTTGCTACAGTGGGTGGCGTGGTTCCTGCGGATGAAGCGGCCGGGGGAGAACGATGACCCTGAGCGGCCGCCCTGCGCTCCCAACCTGCGCCGCTGCTCCTCAGGCTCGCAGAGCGGGAGCATCCCGAACCCTCTTGACACCAACCTCCACCCGCTGCACCCACAGAACCTGACACCTCTCCAGACAGGCCCGCTTCACGCGGGGCACCCTCACCTGCACACCCAGTCCAGTGCCAACAACAACGGGAACCTTCTTTACATGGGCTTCCAGAGCATCGAGGACTCTTCGGTGTTGTCAGAACCTGTCCAGAGGAATAACCTCACAGGACCCCCACGGGTGGCAGGAAGTCCACCTCCCCACCTGCCATCTCAGTTCTGCAGCTCCCCACCACCTCAGGATACGGTCGGGTGTCCCAGCACCGTCTCTAGTGGTGGGGGCTTTGGAGGTGGGCCCGGAGGACTAGGAGGGGGCTCCACTTCAGGAATGGGAGACCCCCAGCTGCAGGCTATCCTGGAGGAGGTGCGTTACATGGCGGACCGTTTCCGAGAGCAGGATGAGACTGAGAGCATGGCTGACCAGTGGAAATTCGCCGGCGCTGTGATCGACCGCCTGTGTCTGGTGGCGTTTAGTGTTTTTAACATTATTTGCACCATCTCTATCCTCATGTCTGCTCCGAACTTTGTGGAGGCTATTTCCAAGGATTTTGTTTGAAAGCAAAGCTTAAGAAAAAAAAACAAGAAGACGAGGAGAAACATTTACGAACAACTGAAGAAAACGAAGTATGAAATGCAGAGCAGAGTGGGCCCTGATCCAAGGAAACACAATTTCCAGCAAACCGTAAGCTTTGTGATTTGTGATTGCAAGGATCTGGGAAATGGAAAGAAACGAATGGTTTTCTGTTTCTGATACATTCTGTTTTGTAACCCCAAAAAAAAAAAAAAGAAGAAAACAGATGAAGGGAATGTAGAGCGAGGTTTAAATGAAATTAGAGTTCGCAGGGTGATTTATCAGATCCTTGACAGGGTGAAATGGGTTTTTGTGGCCAATTCAAAGACTTTTCTTCAAAATATAAGAGAAACACGAGTCAGAAAAAGGTTCAGACGTAAAGGATTTAGTCCAAAGCAAACTGAGGTAGGAAGGATCTTGAATCAGGGCAGACTGAAAGGAGGAAGGAGACAGGCAGATGGGCAGAGACAGATAAAATAGACAGATATGTGACTGTTTTATCGTCTCAAGGAGGGAAGACAGCCCCTTACTCCCACATGTGGAGAAAATACTGCATCATTTAAAGTGATGTGAAGACGAGAAGGCGGGGAGAGGCTTTTACAAGGGCACAAAACAAAGAGCTGCTGTGAAGGACCGACACTCCATTCCCTCGTGACACCGGCAGATTTAGAGTTGGGAAGCGTCTTGATGCTCGGATGCACAAAAAAAAAGTTGACCGAAGATCAAGAGCGCCACATCGCACAGGAACAGAAGAACTCATCTATTATTTAATCCCACTCATCTAATGACCGTCAAATTGAAAGACCTTGGATAATCTTTAGGATTAATAAGCTTTTCGAAGATGAACCCTCCCGCTTGTGAGCCACTTTAAAATGTTCAAGGTCTTATCTTTCTACGAGATGATTGCCAATCAGCAGAGATCAGAAGCTCCTCAGCAGTGAGCACTGTGTGTGGCGTTTATCCTGACTCGGGAAGCGAATTAACCGGTCATCAACAATGCAGCTGCATCCCTGTGGAGACCAATGAAAATTCATGACCCTGTTACCTAACTGCATCTGGCAGGTGATAATGGACCAACGAAACTCATTGGATTTCATATTAAAGGTTTAACGCCTCAGAGGGGAGGTCGAGGCTTTAAAAGGACACGAGAGGCAGCATGAGATGGGATGGGATCATTTAAAGGTTGATATAGAGAAGCGGCGTCCCAATAAATAAACCTCAAATCTTTTGACTGGCTTCCTGAGTGAGCATAAAAGAAGAGGGGAAATGGTTAATTTAAAAAAATATTCTCATAAAACTAACTCAGGCTAACTCACATTATCTTAAAACCTCATCCAAAACCAAACAGGGAAAACAAAATGTTTCTTAAACTTGTAAGTTAAACTGCCATGACTTCCTGTTTCTGCTTTTAGTTTGAAAACAAAGTTAGCTTTACTTAATTCAACTAAGAACCTACACCTAGGTGCTTTAAAAAAAAACAAAAAAACTCATCATGTCATAAAGTTAAAATTTTTGAAAGTGAAATCTGTGGATAAACGATGCTTATCGCTATTCCCAAATAAAAATGAAAAGGGCGCATTATAGAAATAGTCCTGCAGTGAAATCTGCTGGACTCAAAATAGGTGAAAGCTTTGAAAGAATAGTTTCAAACATCCAAAATCTAAATGTACTGCTTGTGTCAGAGGTAATGATGCAATGAGGAGAAAGATGAGTCATTCAAAAGAAAGCGCTGGAAGCAACAAGAAGTCTTCCTTTTAAAGAAGACCTTTGGTCTGCAAATATACAGATCCAGCTGTGGTGTGGCAAAAAGTAAGACTGGAAAACCAAACTTGTCTTATTTTATGCATTTAAACACCAAGAACATCTCCTACGGTGAGATGGTGATAGTAGAAGATGATAGTATTTATTCAAACAGATTAACTGGATTAAATAACTTTTACAGGCAGATTTTGTAACAACAAAATAATGATTTCACCACTGAAGACACCTTCATAAATATAGGCCTCGACTGCCCGACTCCAAATGTTTTCACCCAGATAAGAAGCACTGAAAATACTCATGCTGACACTCGTAACGTAACGTTAATGACAGAAAAAAATACAATCGGAGACACTTAATCTCTATTTTCTCTAAAATGTTTACTTATTTATACACCGTAAATTTCATGGCAACAAGGTCAGAATAAAGCCGTCAAAATGTAGGAAAATTAAAAACCGTTCCATTGTTGTTGTTTCTAGCACACAGTGACAGTGGGAAAGTGTTAAAATAATCACCGTCATTGTCTCTAAAAAGAAAAAAGTATTTTGTCAAATCCACATGGACACCAAAAATAGTGTATAAAATAGCTTTGGCTTGATTTTTAAGTTTTCTCATCAGAATGCTGTTTAGATTAGGATTAGATGTGCAAACGGAACAAACAAACGGATGTTTCTTCCTTCATCCAAAGGACTTTTTCAATCTGAGGAGCCACCAAACAAACGGAGTCCCACTGGAAAAAAAAAAGTTTGCTGGTGATAAGATGGCCTCCGGGGCTCGCCCTCTCCCCCGTCAACTCCTCTGAGGCAGTCATGCCAAAGTGGTTCAAAACACCAAAGTTCATGCTCAATAATCCAGGTAAAAATCCAACAATGTTCAGTCAGGTCACCTGGACGGTTTCTTTTTTTTTTCTGAGACATTTCATCCTTCATCCAAAGGACTTCTTCAGCCTGAGGAGCCACCAATAAACTGAGTCCCCACAAACAGCACACTCATCTCAGCAAAAAAAAAAAAAGAAAAGAAAGAAACCGTCCTGATGACCTGACTGAACATTGTTGGATGTTTACCTGGATTATTGAGCATGAACTTTGGTGGTAAAAACAAATGTTTTGCTAAATATTTGCGTTTATCTGGACTGGGCATTGGGGAACGATGTTTAAACTACAGTTAGTTTCTATTAAAAAAACACTGAACATGATTCTAATGTGGCAAAGAACTGAGAAAGATTCTCGTAAAAACACTACAGTCATCAGCATAAGCACTAACTTCTAAAAGTACCACGCTGTATAAATATACTGGTAATTTTAAGTCATTATTTGATGTTCTTGTTTTAATAACAATAGATTAATTTCAATTAATTATGCTGCTATATTATCTTTATAAAAATAAAGTAAAAAAAAACAGAACTTTACTTTTGGGGGATTTACCACGATGACTGAGGAATCTGCACCAGAATATGCTGATATATACTGTCATCCTGAAATTTTTTTGTATTCTTATAATTATGCTCCCCCCTCCATGTTTCACAGTTAATATTTCACCGAGCTACGGTCAAAACCTTTTTTTTTTCTTTCACATCATACTTTGATATTAGCAGTTTGCAGCGTCCTTCACCAGTTGTTGCAGAAACTCATTCTCACTCGCTCATCTGTTTGTTCCGCACTTCATTCAACAGATAACTGCTGCACAGTCCTTCTGTGTGAAAAAATATAATCAGTGTAATTAAAATAGCTTCAACTGCTTTTCTCATCTACGTAATATTAATTACAGGTGTACTCACTTTTGCATCATTTTTTTATTCTGCGTTTTCTATAAAGTCTTTCAAAAGCTTCATTTCTGTTACTGTCAAAGCATTACAGAGCGCAAAAAATATGTAATTTGGTGAAATACCCAGTCTCAGGACAAAAGGTCTAATTGCTCTCGTTTCTCAGCGAAAATCGCTGCAGTTTCACAATAGAAGCTCATAAATTGTACAATGAGCTTGTTTAACTCGCTCATTTCTCAACTGTATGAAAACTTATTGAAAACATTTAGACCGAGCTAGGATTGTCAAAAGACGTCTGTTCATAACCATGAAAATAAATATCTGAAAATTAACGTTTTTACGTTCAAATCTTCACATTTGTGCTCACAAAAAATAAATAAATAAACAGAAATAATCTACGCCTTTGGGTCGAAATGCTATAAATACAACTTGTTAGAATTAGATATTAGTTACCGTATGTTTTTATGTTTTTAACGTGACCGAACAGAGTGAAAACATGTTTATTTCTCAAACAGTCTAACTTCGAAATGTAAGCAGAAGCAGGAAGTCTGATTGTCCTTAAAGAAACAAAATACCCCTTTAAAGTAAACTGGTTTAACTTTTCATCCATGCCAACAAATCCCTCTGAAAGTATAAATTTCCATTTCATTAAAGGTCCTGCACTAAAACATCTGGGCACTTTCAGTAAACATTTCAGCGTGTGCGGCTACAGATTAAATCAAATTTGATGCTGTGGAGAGTTTTTACAGCGGCAGGATGATGGATATGGGACTGACCGTGAATAAAATGAAGGCGTTCACCGTAATGGGAAAACATGACCAGTGCAACGTGTGGCTTATTAATCTGTTTCTAATCATTTTATGTCAGAGGAAAATAAATCTCAGGCTTTGGCTACACAAGCTGCAATTATTTCCCCTTGGATAGATTTACTGTTTGGTCTTTACATGGGATTAATGTATTTATTTATTTATAAAAAAAAAAAACACTAAGATTTGGTCTTTTGAAGGCCATAAATGTTTCCTACATTCCTGATGAATACTGTCAGTGTTTTGTTGTCTGTCTAGCTGCTGTCTTTCTGTCTCTTCCTCTTTCAAGTCAACAGAAACAGGAAGAAAGTCAACTTCCTGCCAGAGGGTTTGCAAAAGGTTATCCTCCTTTGAGCACATGCTGACACTCACATCTGTACATCCCTTTGAGAAAATAAAAGACTCTTTTTTTTCTACCATCATTTGCTCATCTCTTCTTCCTGCCTGTCCCGACACCCAAAAAGACGAGGAGGGGGAAAATGACAGAGAGGAGGAGAGAAAGTGCTGATGGGAGCTGGACGGGGCCTTAATTGATCACTCGTTCACGAAGAAAAAAGAAGAGGAAGGGAGGGTTAATGGAGGAAAGAGTGGCATCATGGGTAATTCATGGGATTTATGAGGGACGGTGGCAGGACAGAAGTATAACTCAGTCAGAGGCATCAAGTAAAAGGTCATGGCACTACATCGCACCACAAGAAGAATACATCCTTAAAAAATAAACAAATCGGACAACTATCTTCATGCGACTGTTTTCCTGCTGAGGGGAGCTGGAGTTTCAGCCTGGCCTTCACCGTGTCACTCAGCCAGTGTGTCCGGATGAGTAAAGAGTCATCGGCGTATTTATAGTAGCCTGCCGGTCCTTATTCAGCCCAGGCAAGGCTCCCTGCCT